ATGCTAGATGTCCCTGCGAATTCAGCGGTGGATTCGAGGAAATAAAATTTAATTTCCTTTTCTTGTTTATTTTATTATTAAAAACCAGAGTAAAATGCCTTTTTCTCAAAATTTAATTTCCTTTTCTTGTTTATTTTATTATTATTATTATTATTTTTATTATTATTTTTAATTATTATTATTTTTTTTTTATAAAAGGGCAACGGCCTTGAGATATCATCATTAAGCTGACCAGCCCTCAGGCAATTCAGAAATAGTTGGTTTTACAACTTTACTCCTCAAGTTCCATCATCTGGATTTGAACAGGGGTCCATATTTTCAACAGTTCATGGGTGTACCCACTGAGCTAGGCTTTTGGGTTTTTTATTTTATTATTAGAAACCAGAGTAAAATGCCTTTTCTCAAATAGAACACCCCCTACCGGAACTCCCTTCCGTTGAGCTAGCTCTTATTTTTTTCTCTTTGTAGCCAGCTCAACGAGGATTGATTTCTCATGGAAGGACAACTTTATTGACATTGAGATAATGATCCTGGCTTCTGACGTATCATAGTACCGTACCGTCCGAAGCCCACTTCTGAAAACGGAGCAACGAGGCCGTCCAGCCAACAGGTAGTACTTCCACACACGCGTTGTTGAATTTGGCCGCGTTTAGGGGATAGGTGCATTCAAGAGGAAATTATTTTCCTCACTCTGTCTTGTTTTCCTGATTGTGACCCTCCTGCGTCATCATGTGTGCGTGAAAAAAATGATAAAAAAGAACGTCCGGACATTAAAAAATAGCTTTCTTTTTTTTTTTTTTTTTTTTTTTTTTTTTTTTGGGTAACAGGTCCTTAAGGTCCTGGCTCCATATCCATTCTGGGGAGCGTCAGTCCGGTTCCTATTCCCCCGGCAAGTCAAAATTGAACGCATAATAGTACCCACTCACGCTTCCTTCTGTCTGGCCGAAGGAACCCTGACCAGCATTGATTGCTCCTGCTAAGGAGGATTGACTGTCAGCTTGCCCATGTCTCTTGTTCCTCTCAGGCTTCTATTCAGAGCCTGTCAAATAATTCCTTGCACAATGAGAACAGCGAAAGGGTCCGCTACAAGCTATGTTGTTTGTCATTGTACTTCTCTGTGTACCCTTTGAGTACTGTTGTTGATCGCAGTTCCGACCCTTCTGCCAGGTAGCATGGTGGGGCCCCATAGTCATTGTGGTATAGCCTGGTACCATTTCTTCCATCTCAATCTGTTATCTACTATCGTCGCCACCTTGCCCTTCAGCAGCCGTTCTCTCTTGAATGTCTGCTTCCTGGTTGCATGTCTTTCTGGTCTGTGTTGCGTAGAGGTCGCTATTCTCCGCCATCTGCTCCCGATTCCCATCTCTGCCATGCTCAGTAGTAGAGACCACATTTCTTCCTTTGCCACCTCTCCCTCGATTGTCCGGGTGTACCCACAGTGCCAATTTCCTGAGCAGGAGGAACCAGACTTCCCTGCTGCCCTTGATGTTGCTGGGAGTGTTAGATAGCAGTAAGATGGAGACGGTAGGGATGTTGGGGGGGAATGTTGAGAACGGGGTCGACCACAGCTCCCGGATCTTCTTCCAGATCCATGTTGCTTCTGGACAGGATAGGAGGCAGTGGGGGATGTCCTCGGGTGAGTTGTTCTTGCACATTGAGTAGCATTCCGAGCTCTCTGGGTCGGAATGCTTCCTTCTTGCATGTAGCCATTGATTGACGGGAAGGGCTGTTTGTGCTATCAGCAATTGCATGCTGCGTATTTGGTTTGGGCGGATAAGAAGGTATTTAGTCCATGGGATGGTGATGGGGTTTGCAGGGTCAAGGTGAAGGATGGTTCTCCACTTCTCCGCCAGCCTTGGGTTCGGGTCAGTGGTTTTTAGTCTGAGGTTATAGCCGAACTTTACGTCATACTCCGTTATCACCCTTGGTTTGCCGGTGGTGCCCAGGTCCCATATCCACCCCTTTGGGTCAAATTCTAGGTCCTCGATGTTGAGTTCCTCCTGGAAGATGAGCCTGTGACGCCCAACCTCACCCCCAGCGCGACTTCCTGATCGGAGTGGGATGTGGGCCTGGAAGTGCGAAAAGGGGTGTGCCAAGGATTTTTGGGGGAAGTGGGGGAGTCTTAAGGATATGAATGCAATTAGGCGAGTGAGGGGTGCGCACGCAAGGGTCTCACAGTCCCAAGGGACCGGGACACTGTGGACGACGGGTTACGGGAAAATTCCTCCGTGGTGGAGGTGGTCCCGATTAGTTAGGCCGTCGGGGGCCGCCACGTGGCGCAGGCCGCCGCGTAGCTGGGTTGGACCTTCGGAATTYYGGGGTTCTTTGTGCGCCGCTGCGTCGGCAGTTTACGCAAAACGTGTTGGGCCAATAGGGGGCTATGGCCGGCCACRAAACGACACTGAGTTGATGATACGGAAGAAGGAGGCGGAAAGGAGGGAAACTGGTGGTGATCTCAACGAATCCCGGGTGGGTGAAGTAGTAGGTGTGGTCGGGGGAAGGGAAATCGGAGCACCRAGGGTCGCTAGTGGTGGCACARTGGAATTCCCGCAGACATAGCCGATTCTCCRTGTGACAAGGGTATCGGGTCCTTATGAGMTCGTTTATTATAGGGGTGAAATAGTCCGGGTCATATGATGAGTCTGAGCCCCAAGATCGCGTCATGGTATCATTGCCGATGGGATAGCGCGGGTCGGGATATCGTCACCGCGCACGAGCACGTGTAGGACAGGCCGACTCAGTGGCGCCTCATCATGCCCATACGGGATGATGGTTCCGTCATGATTCCCTTCGGGGTGAGCGAGTCGACGTACGGGAATGTGTGTAAGGGGCGYGACTCGGATCGCGTTTACACGTGTTCTCGCGCGGTGTTCGCGGGACCACACTTCGGATCGTCGATTATGCAAGTTGCAATCATATCACAACCTCATCATGGGACAAGCAAAAATGAGAACGAAATCGACATYGGGGCCAGATTCTTATCCCATCTATCGCTGCATCTGGCGCAAGCAAAGATTCGGCACAAACAAAAAGCAAGGGCAAGCAGGCATAACATTCATGCATCCATACATTYGACAATCATACATATAATGCAATCGCAAGGACAGGTGTGAGCAARAACCCAAGTCCAGATTCCAGAAAGCCGAAACGAAGATAAGAACGGGCAAACCGCCCGGGGCCGCAATCAAAATGTATGTACRCAGATGGAGAGGGGGAAGAGACAAAGAAACAGCAAATCCACGTCCATCGACCTCAACTCTCTCCTCTTTCTCTCTCTTTCCGATGCGGACAGTCCGTCGTCACGCACCAACCCACGAAGTTGTCACCCCGCTTGGTCCTCCCGCACCCGTCGGATTCGCCCGTGCCCACAGTCCGTCGTGGCTCACGTCAATCCCGCACGTTCGGCACCAGCCCGTCGGGTCRCCCAACTCCTACTCTACTCACCTCTTACTTCGCTCGTGTGCCGACCCTTCCTGATCGCGCAACCCCGAGCTTCCAACAACGGGTTAAGAGAGTTGACTAATCGCGCACCCTGAATTTATAGCGTGCATGYAGGCGCGAAGGACACGRAATTACCAGAACTTAGAGCGGGGATTAGAGAGGGAGCGCCTGCGTTCTGCATGATCGGGCTGCGGYGTGGGGGACGTAGCCCTTCTCCACGCATCGATCCGAGCATGCAAACCGCGRTTCACAAAAATCATAGCAAGAGGAAGAGAGGGAGGGTGGGAAAGACGAAGCGCAAGAAGAAAGATACAGTTACAATGGCGCCTGCCCAAAATTACAGTTACACCAACGATTACAGGCGCCGATTAATCAGAGTTCCGTTGCAGCCGCGCGAAGAAGCGCGTGAACAAAAAGCGTCACACGGCTGGAAAAATCCTAATTAGTAAATTCCTAAATTCCTATCTAATGCGAAAAAGCAAAAGGCACAAATTCCACAAGGAAAGTCCGAAATTCCGAGTGCCATAGGGGCTCGACAAAAATTTAAAAAGGTTTCAAAAGAAAAACAAAAAAAAAGCGCAGCAATTTTTCGCGCGATGTCCGCCCCCAAAAAGATCGAAACGGAACCGAAAGAAACGATCATTTATTAATCGTGCGCGCGGTGGCGCACCAGACATCCATCCGACCAATCACTCAACCGGTCGTCCCAGGACACTCCCAGCCCCAAAGAAGCGACGAAAAAGACGAAGAAGCAAGGGCATTGATGCAATTTTCCACCGATCCCGATTTCCCGTAATTGGCCCAATCTTCCCAGCTTAGGACCCCTCGACGGGCCCTCGTTGCAACTGCGCAGAAACTTGCACGTTACAGAAAGTGGTTCGTCACATATGTGACGCCCAGGGGATTCCAATATTAGCAAGCTCCTGCTTGCTTGTTGACACGTATCGATTTCTCTAATCGATCGACAAGCGGAGCACTTCACTTTATGCCACTTACCGTTCGATTGCGTGCGGACGTCATCCAACGTGGCAACTTTGCTCTTCTACTACTTCCTCAGATTGGGCTCTCGACGATCCAAGGACGGGATTTTYCTYRTGCCKTTAYCGCGACACGCAYCCATTAYMGGTTGCATCARTAATTAACTGGAAGGGGAAAAGGGARCTGGTGCATGGCGGCATGGCGGGGTGGAGGGCTTAGGGGTAGCGGGGGYAGGAACCTTTCCATYCCGGCTGCAGATTCYGGAAGCGCTTGGTAGCGGACGATGCGGTGGAAGCGGGGGAAACAGTTGCCAGTGCGAGGGAGGGACGCGAGGTAATCAGGATAGAGGGTGGTGAGAGTTTGGAAAAGTGCCGCGCGGAAACGATCGCGATCTTCGCAGGCGGGGATGGTCCCCGTTACTATGCAATAAACCTCGATCATATTGTGGCCTCGCCACGCGGCACTAAGGAGCAAAACATGGAGGCAGAAGGTTGGGACGGCACACTAAATGGAGGGGTGGGGGTGCACTACTATAGCGAAGTGAGCAGCATAGAAGTGGCGGAAGGCGTCGCGGGGGAACGGATTAGAGGGGAACGTAACGGGGGTGGTGAGCTGGCGGAGGGTGAGGTATTCAAGGGGACGACGAGAAAGCGATTGGGGACGAAGACCGATTGCCCGTATCGGTACGTTGGCGAACTGGGGGACGGGTTGGGGAGGAGGGTGATTGGCTCCGTCGCCTTGCTGATGAGGTCGGAGTCATGGCCGTGAGGTCGCCATGTTCTGGTCGGGGCGGCTCCGGATCTCGGTTTGGGTCGCCGTAGACGTGCAAGCTTGCCCCGCTCGCAAACTCTAGCTTCCTTTTTTCGGCCGCGGTTTCTTCTCTTTTGCGGGCTGCCTCCGGATCTTCAGCCTCCATGCCCGTGCGCAGCGCTTCTTCCGGCACAGCTTCCCACTCCGATTCCGCAGGTCCTTCTTCGTTCTCCTCTTCTCCTTCGTCGTCTTCTTCTTCTTCTTCGCTCTGCTCCCCCTCGTTATGCTCGCTATAGCTTCCTTCTTCGGGGGTTTCGTCCTCTTCCCCGAGTTCTTCGTCGCTTTCCCCACTTTCTTCCCACTCGTTTTCTCCTTCGTTACTCTTAGTGCTTTCTTCCTCCTCTTCCTCCTCTTCCTCCTCTCGAATGGCAGCAAGCTGCTCCACCGTTGGATGCCTGAAGAAGGCAGGATCGTGAACCGTCTGGGGATCCAAATACTGCTGCTGCGACGGTGGGATGCGCTCGGCGGCTCCCTCCACACAAGCCGACTACTAGAGATACGGCGTCAATGTGCGAGAAAGCACATGAGGAATCGGGTGCTCGTCGTCTTGCGAGATGATAACGAGAGGGAGATCGTCCGCCAGCTGCGTTACCGGGATCGTGAGCTCTTGCGCGATGAGTTCCTGATGTCCGGGCCGCACTGTACCGAACAGAAACGCGAGGAGTTCTCCCTCCACGCTGGTTCGCCAAGCCTGGATGAACAGCAACTCCAGGCGCTCTATGCAAGGCGGGCGCGCCTCGTCCTCGGTCCACGTCAGTCGTACCTCAACCAAGCACAGTGAAAGCTCGACGAAGTCTTCGTGCCACAGGTTTCAGTGTGGGGGATGAATGTCGGGGACAACAAGGGTCGTTAGACAGTAGGAAAGGCGAGGATGAATATCGAACTGCCAGAAGGTGGGGAAGGTGGAGGGGAGATCAAAAACCAAGATCGGAGAGAGACTCATTGGGAGCGAGGGAAGGGAACAACAACAGGGAGAACCGCCGACGGATCACGCTGGTACACCCGAAGATTGCTCGCGTCGCTGCGACCGTGTCCCCGGGATGAGCCAGAAGTTGGGTCCACTCGGTGACAAGATCGTTTGCCCACGCGCGCAACGATGTCTTCACTGCCGAATGCCGTAACTTTCGGAGTGTGGAGAGATCGCCACTGAAGTTGATGATGACCGATATGCGGCTGACACCTGGCACCGCTCGCTCATGAACTGCTACTGCCTTGGCCAGTACCACTGCGTTGGGCCGACCTTTGATTTTGAACACCGTCGCTGCATACACGCCTTCCGTGCAGAAAAAGTGCGCAAGCCGCCGAAGATTTGGACTGAGGCGGGGATGATAAACTTACCGGATCGTCAATCGATCGCAGGGCGCAAGCGATGCTTCGCTGAGGGCTCTCTCCTCAAGAAAACTCATGGCGATGGCGACGGAGAGGGAGAGAGGGAGCAAGAGGAAGAGGGGGATGGTGGAGAGTCAGAGCCGTCGTCCTTGGTTTCCTCGGAAGGAGGTATGGAGGGTGAAAGGAACGGAGCAGAGGGGAGGAGGGGAAGATAGGACACGTGGCGTGTGATCGGGCGGGCGGATCAGCTGCCAGAGACTTCAGGGGCGAGGCGCACGGTGTCCACACCGTTGGGGCCGAGCTCAATCCCGCGATATCGCCCGAAGAATCATGGCGCTAGCTTACCCCGGCGAGCACATTTCCTCACCTGCACCACGTCCCCCAATTTGTACTGGGGCCGTGGACCCGCATTCCCATTTCGGGCCTCGTAGCTCCGGACCTGTCGGCCTTGGGCTAGTTCGGTCAT